TAAAAATGGGGAATTTGTTCCAAAAAATCAGGATTTTTCTCATATAAAAATGGGGAATTTGTCCCAAAAAATTGGGATTTTTTTCGTATAAAAATGGGGAATGTGTCCCAAAAAATTCAATTTTTTTTCCCATAAAAATGGGGAATTTGTGCCAAAAAATTGGGATTTTTTTAATATAAAAATGGGGGATTTGTCCCAAAAAATCAGGATTTTTTCATATAAAAATGGGGGGTTTGTACCAAAAAATTCAATTTTTTTTCCCATAAAAATGGGGAATTGGTCCTAAAAAATTGGGATTTTTTTCCCATAAAAATGGGGGGTTTGTGCCAAAAAATCAGGATTTTTTTTGTATAAAAATGGGGGATTTATGCCAAAAACTTGGGATTTTTTTCATATAAAAATGGGGAATTCGAGCCAAAAAAATTGGGATTTTTTTCCCATAAAAATGGGGAATTTGTCCCAAAAAATTGGGATTTTTCTCATATAAAAATGGGGAATTGTTCCTAAAAAATTGGGATTTTTTTTCCATAAAAATGGGAATTTTAGGGAAAAAATGGGGAATTTGTGCCTAAAAATTGGGAATTTTTTCATATAAAAATGGGGAATTTGCCCCAAAATATCTGGATTTTTTTCCCATAAAAATGGGGGATTTGTCCCAAAAAATTGGGATTTTTTTCCCATAAAAATGGGGGATTTATGCCAAAAACTTGGGATTTTTTTCATATAAAAATGGGGAATTCGAGCCAAAAAAATTGGGATTTTTTTCCCATAAAAATGGGGAATTTGTTCCAAAAAATCAGGATTTTTCTCATATAAAAATGGGGAATTTGTCCCAAAAAATTGGGATTTTTTTCGTATAAAAATGGGGAATGTGTCCCAAAAAATTCAATTTTTTTTCCCATAAAAATGGGGAATTTGTGCCAAAAAATCAGGATTTTTTTCCCATAAAAATGGGGGATTGGTCCTAAAAAATTGGGTTTTTTTTTCCCATAAAAATGGGATTTTTAGGGAAAAAATGGGGAATTTGTGCCTAAAAATTGGGATTTTTTTCCCATAAAAATGGGGAATGTGTCCCAAAAAATTGGGATTTTTTTCATATAAAAATGGGGGGTTTTTGTCAAAAAATTCAATTTTTTTTCCCATAAAAATGGGGAATTGGTCCTAAAAAATTGGGATTTTTTTCCCATAAAAATGGGGGATTTGTGCCAAAAAAAATGGGATTTTTTTCCCATAAAAATGGGGAATTTGTCCCAAAAAATTGGGATTTTTTTCATATAAAAATGGGGGATTCGAGCCAAAAAATTGGGATTTTTTTCATATAAAAATGGGGAATTTGTCCCAAAAAATCAGGATTTTTCTCACATAAAAATGGGGGATTTGTCCAAAAAAATTGGGATTTTTTTTCCCCATAAAAGTGGGATTTTAGGGAAAAAATGGGGAATTCGAGCCAAAAAAATTGGGATTTTTTTCCCATAAAAATGGGGGATTTGTGCCAAAAAATCGGGATTTTTGTTCCCATAAAAATCGGGATTTTTAGGGAAAAAATGGGGAATTAGACCCAAAAAATTGGGAATTTTTTCATATAAAAATGGGGGATTTGTGCCAAAAAATTGGGATTTTTTTCATATAAAAATGGGGGATTTGTGCCAAAAAATTGGGATCTTTTTCATATAAAAATGGGGAATTTGTGCCAAAAAAATTGGGATTTTTTCATATAAAAATGGGGAATTTGTGCCATAAAAGTCAATTTTTTTTCATATAAAAATGGGGGGTTTGTGCCAAAAAATTGGGATTTTTTTCATATAAAAATGGGGAATTGGTCCTAAAAAAATTAGGATTTTTCATATAAAACTGG